TGAGTGATGGAAGATATGCATGGAAAAATGACAATCTCTTTGTCCAAAAGGGAGACATGGTCTGGTGTTCTTGAATAAAGTTTCAGTTTTAGTTAAGCACCTTTAATAAAAATTTTAAATATTTAAAAAATTTAAATGCTTTTAATGATAGTCCTGATTTTTTAATTAATTTGCTTCTAATATTTACATAGACGAAGCTGAGCTAGACTGATAATGTTTGTATAGTTATTTAGCATTCTTGAATCTTACTGTGTAAGGATCAGTTTCAATAAAAGTCGAGGATAAGTGTCCCTTCCCATGTGTCTTGAGGAGTAAGAGCACAAACTGGGCACCTAACACCTTTGCTGTCTTCTTTAGCTTCCTGAAATAAATATTGCATATTCACCAGGCTTTTCAATGTCTTAAAAATAATTTACTAGTGTATTAAGTAAAAATGAAGAATCTAATTTTCTCAGTGTCCGTAAAGGGATCTGAATATATGAAAATACTGATTGAATACACAAAACAAGTAATTGTATCCAAGTTTAAGATGTGCTTGACTTACCAGGCTAGAGAACCCCACAGAAACAGCTGACCTGAACAAGGAGGAGATCATTGACCCCAGACTGATAGCTGGGAAGCCATCATAGGACTGATCCAGATCCCCTGAGTGTGGGTGTCAGTGAGGAGGCCTCGGCAATCTATGGGGCCTCTGGTAGTAGATCAGTATTAATCCCTAATATAAGAATGGACTTTGGGAGCCCATTCCACATAGAGGGATACTCTCTTAGCCTAGACACATGGGGGTGGGTCTTGGCCCTGCTCCAAATGATATGAAGGACTTTGAAAATCCCTCATGGAAGGCCTCACCCTCCCTGGGGACAGAAAGGTGATGGGATAGGAGGTCGGTGGAGGGCAGGGGAGGAGGTGAGGTAGAGGGAACTGGGATTGACATGAAAAACAAGCTTGTTTCCAATTTAAATGAAAAAAGTAAATTTAAGATGTGCTTGACTCTAAATTTCTACTTTTCTATGAAATTGGTCCTTCTCACATTTAATTTTCTTTTTTGTAATCCACAAAGTTGATGGATTCTTGTAACAAAAAAGACACAATATTGAAATTTTCACATACATATTCTCAAATTTGTATAAAACCAAGCAAATAATGGTAACAAAACACATTAAAACTTTATTCCAATGTACTATTTTAATTCTCACAAGGTCGATGTTTGTTACTTTTAGGCTTACAATCTTAAGGCTAATATCTACTTCATGGCTCATTTCCATGGTATATGAGCTGCCTCCACTATAAAGCACAAAGAGGAAAGGCTAGTTTCCTAAAATTATAAAGACTAATATAAATAATTAATCTACTTAGATATAAATTGCAGTTTAGTCTAATAACTTGAGAATTTGGGAACCAGAGGCAATGGAAGTTTCTGGATGAGAGACATAATTATAAGTAAGAATGGTAACCAGGAGTTTGAGACAGGATAACAAGATCTGCAGGCCTGACTGAAAAGTGGCAGAGGTGATAGTGGAGAGAAAAAGGGAAGTAAAATCAGGGCCAGTCAGGGAAGGAACTCGAAACTGAGGGCAAATACTGTTAAGATGCTACTCTATATAATCTGAAAATACACTATAGTAAGAGCTTTTACAGTGTGATTGTGAGTTTTCCCAGGGTAAGTTTCCCTATTGGTGTTTGCACAGAGATTTCCACTGCTGCACAAAACTACAGGATTCTCCTCATAAATTGTCACTATTTCAACATCAGTATGAATAATGCATATGTGAGATCGCATGGGAAGTAGAATTCAGATTTGCCAAAGAGGAACAGCAGACGCTGGAAACCCTAATTGTGGGTTATTGGGCAATGTTGTCTAGTCCATAGCTCAAGACTTTGACACTTACTGACTTTAACAGGATTGTGCAATCCTTGCATAGGAATTTAGCTTGGCTAAAAATGAATGCATTTTACCTGATATTTTTCTCAAGAAGATGATGGCCCCTGATTTCTAAATTAATATTTTGACTGAATTCCACCCTATGTGCTTCATCTCTCCTGGACAATGGAAAGCTTGTGTTTGGGGTTGATCAACAGAGGACACAGGATTAGCCCATAGTAGACTAAATTGTAAATGACTGAAAAGAAGCTCGTTTGTGTCTATTTATTCATCCTTATTAATAGATTTGGGCACTTCGAAATGCCTCAAGGAAAGGCAGGAGTGCAAGTAAATAAGTCTGTGAATACTCCCATTAAACTTTGAGATATTTGAAATACACAAAACTGGGGGAAATTAAGACTATGAAAAAACTCAAGAAGTCAGGTTTTCTAAAATGTATTTGTAACCCCAACTTAAATTATTCCCTCTTGAATAACAAGTGTTTATTAGTCAGCATGAAGATCATGTAAAAGTTCAAATGAATGATTTGCTTCAACGTGATTTAAAAATCTATAAAGAGAATTTTGCTTAGTTTTCAGTAACCTCCTACTTCATTTCAAGCCACAGAAGTTTGAAGATCATTACTGAGTCCTTCCATTTCGTTCAACAAGGTTTATATCGAAATAACTCAATAAAGAACACATATCTGCTAAGTAAAAAAAAGTTCATTAGTGATGAACACCAAGTTTAGTCATGAGAAACGACAAATACTTTTGAACTACTTGGATGAGAAGGTACCATGAAAAAAAGCAAGAGAAAGATACTCAGGGAAAAGTATGAATAATAGTATTCTGATATCCCAGTTCTGTCACCAGATTCTTAAATAATCAGGACACTCACTCAAACTATGAGCCTTGTTTTTAATATCTATGAAATCAAAGTAACATAAAAAATCCTCTTCCATCTTTTACATGCTATGATATTATTATTCTGTGGCATAGTATAGCTGACTGCAGGATATTTTAAAAAATATTTTTTATTGAGTCATATTAGCTTGTTTCATGTCTAAATTTAAAATAACTACAACTGACTGGAAAATTGAACACGTATTTTTCTTAATTCAGTTCTTTCTGCCGTAATTTTTCTTAAAATAATGGCAATCAATCCTGCTTATTTTTTATAAGAATAAAATACAAACAGTATTTGTTGTGGCATAAGGCATTCATGTTGAACAGTCTGAGTTCAACACATTTTGATGGTCTGTGACTTTCGTGTGAGAAAGTGATGTTCCAGTCTGCTGTCTCATTCTCTGTCTGAGCTCAGCAAATCTTGGAGCCTCTCAAGGACTCATGTCTTCATGATCAATTGGTTCCATCTAATAATAACAGAACAGCTCAACTACTAATACATACTCAGTAGATCCCTCAGGAATTAGACCTCAGATGTCAAGAAAATAGGAATGCCTCAAATGAGTTATTGGTCTAAAACCCAGGGAAACAGGGCAAGTACTTGCAGAACTCTTCAAAGCATACAAATAAGTTTATAGATGATATTCACTAGGCTCAGTAAAGGAAATAATTGGGGCAATATTTTGCATTCTAAATGCAGAAAGAGTATGTTACTTGAACCAATAGCAAAGTCTTCCCTGAAACTGAATAACTAAATCTTTTAAGATGTATCTGCATGCTGATAAAAAAGTATATTCATGGTAATTTGCAGTACTGAGTTAAATTTCTTCAGATAAACATATTCTCACTAATATTTCATGATTGTTCAATTCAGGTAAGAAACTGAAAAATTTATAGGATAAATATAGTCCTTATCATAAGTGAATAGGTTTCCCTGTTAATGCTTAGCATATAATTTTACAAGGAATCTTTGTACTAAAGAAGACAAAGCAAGACTTATTAACACATTTAATTTTCCCCATTTAAAATACCTCAGCACCATCTAAACGATAATTGAAAGATTTGACTGGTGACAGAAATATATGCCTTTGTCATGTGGGGGACTAAAGGGGGAAACTTTCCCAAATAAAGTGTGTCTGCAAAGATAAATCTAAGAGCACACCACAGCAATAACCCTAAAGAGGAACACTTACAAGTGGGCATGGTGGTAAACTATGATGAATGTTACCAAGGTAAAGTGAAAGTCTTCTGAATATTTTCAACTTATTTATAACAGTGGAAGTCAAATTATAAATACCTAGGGGAAAGTCTATGATTAGGAAGTATCATAAAGTTGTAGCCTTGATCATTTTATGATAGTTACGTAAACAATGATTACTGTAAGGTTCAGAGGAAGAAAGCTGGATATAATTGCAAAATGACATCATGGTTTACAATGTCATAAGATTTCTTTCTATTTATAATATTCATTCATCATTTTTTTCATGCAGGGCATCTTCTCTTCTTATTGCTCATACCTCTGAGTATCTTAGACAGTCAATGTGACTTGAATTTGACGATAACTGTCATATTGTCATGTGGTCTTGGCTGTGCTCCCATACAAAGGCAGAAAAAGCCAGCTCACCTCTGACACCATAATTTCTCTTTGGTGTGGGTAGACTTCGAGACAAAGTTGTCATTGCTCGTACATTAACCACAGCCATCTTTTACATGTACCACAGCAGAAGCAATGGGGGCACTCTTTACTTGATTTTTTCTTGACAAACACAAACTTGTAGCAAGATGTCTAGTGAGTTTATTTTGGCCTTTTGATACCAATTCTGTAAATGCAAGCTAAATAATCTAGTGACTTCCTTTGTGACTTGATGGTATACTCTGCATATTTACTATAGGTGAACCTCTTACATATCTGAGATCATAATACTTAATTATCTAATTCCATGCACACTGAACGATAGTCTTTGCTCTCAGTAGTTATTTGCTTTGATGGGTATTCCTTTAAGGCACATAAAGTAATAGAGAGGATTATTGCATGTTTCTGTCAAAACAAGATTTCTTTAAGAACTCATCACAAGGCATTCCTCTTCATTTTTTAAAGAAGCATACCATTTTCTTTAACAACCATGTAATGACATGGTTGTTAATGATTGTAAATAACTGGTCAATGTTTTCAAAAAAGTTCTGTGGAACCTTTCTCTTTATGATTTCCTTTCAAGAATGTGTTCAAAACATACTGTAATGTTCTTTATTTATTTAATCTTGTGAAAAATTTTACATTCATGTCATTTTGTTTTCCCTTCAGGTTTCTCTAAACAACACTTTTTAGAGTGAAGAGTTGTTATGGTTATCAAGGTGCTTGGCAGCTATCCTCACTTGCATACAGGTGGACACCAACACACAGCTGGGTGAAATGTATTGCTCCTAGTCGTTGATTCTGCTGTAGGCCTCCGACAGCAACACATGCCAGTTTCCTGTAGAAAATAAGCACAAATGAGCATGGATAAATGCTGCCCTTTGAACTTTTTCAGGGCTATTTTTGGGGATTTTCTTTGGCTTTGATAAAATGCCTTAAATGACCTACTCATGGAGTGGCTTCCAGGCAGGTACAGAATGGGGAGTTCTGAGCCTTCTTTTACAAGCTCGGAAGCTCTTTCTCTGCCACCATTAGCATGTCTCTTTAAATAGACTCTCTAGTTCTAATTTGTCTATCTTCTGCAACAACAGGGTAGTTACTGATTTTGTTTGTTTTGTCAAACGCCTTCATATGATAGTTTGGAAACCTGACAAACAGGACAGAGTCACACTTGCAATGTTTGAGCAGATCTTCTACTTTCTGTATGTCATTTCTTGCTCTTTTACCAGATTCAAATGTTGTACAGTCATGACACTCAGTAACGGTAGAACACACAGTTCAAATTTAGAGAGACAAGGGGTTATTGAGATAATCATGGGAGCTGAGTGGATAAATAGGCAGCAACCAGGGCTCAGAGGCTAGTGGCAGGGGATCCTGGGAGCTGCTGGAGCTGAAGAAAAGTGTAGCCAGATCAAGTCAGGACAGAAACTGTGCAGAAGGAATTAGTGACCTGGCCTAAAGGGGGTCAGAACTACCATCGGAGTGGAGGTATAAAAAGGGCAGGTGTGGACAAACAACCCCGATGTCTTTGCTGTACTTGGTTCTAATCTCCCTCCAGAGCCTCCAGCTGGTGAGCGCAAGAGCAGGCGAGTCAAGATGTGGGAGGGGTTGAATCTGGGAAGTCAAACGAAGAGCAGACACCTGCATCATAAGGGCGAAGCTGTTCTGTGATTATGGTTTTAACTTGATTTTATTTTCCTCTGGATTTAGCAGCAGGACTATAGATTAAAGAGTAGGTGTTTTAAAATAAAAACAAAGTAATGCGACAAAACTATTTAAAACTTAGGGTTTTACACTGTCAGTCAGCTCTGTCAGATTTCTACATTATTAAGCACCATCAAATTACTGTGTTTATAAAGTATTAATTTAATGATCCAAAATCTCCCCTCCATTTTTTAAAGGAAAAATCTTTTTATGAAAAGTACCTATGTTAGGAGAAAAAAAAATGAGATGGGTGATAATAGCCCACTGCTGCTCCACTCAAACTTCTAAAATACCTATTCTTATCTACAACTTACAGATCTAGACTCAAATGTTTGGCAACCCTCCTGTATGCTGCCTGAGTGAGTGCTGGGCTTCCATGCCTGTATCACTGTGTGAGAATCATTTTGATAATTCCCATCAGTGTATTCTGACCTCAGCACAAATTGGACATTTTTCCAACTGTTCATCTTTTCTTTTCATCAACATCATTTAAGAAACATCTATTATCTGTCAAATACTGCAATATTGGGAATAATAATGAGGTTTCTTTTCTCATGGAGATTACAATTTAACGTGTGTTAAGGGTAATATATGTTAAGCAAATATGTAAACAACATGAACTATATATGTATGTTGATATGGTGGATATAAAGCAATTGAATATATATTTGTAGTATCTATAGAGATATACGTCTTTCATATAATGTGAATTTGTGAGGAACTGAATATTTGCATGATTTAATTTGTCACTTTGTAATATATATGTGTGCTGAGATTTCTTCTCCCACCAATGCTGGTTCCCATGGCTGTTCTATAGAAAACAGAAAGACCAGAAAAGAGAAGTAGGCACATTGTATTTTGCTTAGGTCTGCTGTCCGATTTCCATGATGTCAGTGCTGTTTTCTTTTTGTTCTGAAAACAGGAGGTTAAGGGGCTTGTTTTTGTGTTCTTTTAAGCCAGTTATCATTCATAATCCTGACATTCACCAAGTCACACCCTATCAAATTATCTGTATTCACTTGTAATTGTGATAATTCAAAGATAGGGTTTTATGCCTTTATTTTTTCTTTGCAGTTGATGAGTGACCCTAGTTGCATTCTGACTGAGCTCATGGAAACGGTACTGAGAAGCTGTCTATAAATAAGTAGTTTTGTTTACAGGAACTTACTGTGGAACTGGACTCCTACCACCTGCCATTGGTTGAAGGCTGAGAAGTGAGAGGAAAGAGTTTCAGTCCACTAAGATAATTAAAATTACAGACGAGTCCCTGCCCCCCTCCCTTAACCAGGTGTGGTGCCTTTCTCTTCTTAATGCATCTCAGGGATTTTTATAATGTTGTCTTATTTTTTCCCATTATATGCCTCCTTATTGTAAGTTTTCTAAAAATCCATTGAATTTGACAAATGTGTCAAATAAAACTATTACGGAAAGAGTATGTGGAAGCAAACTATCTAGAATTATGAAAATAAGTATCTACAAAGTTTTGTACTTACCCCAAATTCTTAATTTAAGTCAGCTAAGAAACTTCAATCCCGTGGGCTAGTGGGAAACTGGAGTCCATATGGAGCTTCTCAAATGGTCTTGCAAGTAGGTGGGTTATAAATATCATGAAAGCGTTTCTGTCATGTCCTTTCCATGGCCAGAGATTCTGTCTTTTCTCTCTTTGGTGAATGGTGTATCACAGCAGAAATCATTGGTGCTTTTTTGTTAAATATGGTGATGAGTCAGTTAATAAATAACTAAAGCCAAACACTTGTTTTCCTAAGTTATGCTTTGTAAACTTAAAATGTCAGTAGAAAAGAAGGCAATTCTACCACTAATTGAAGGCTTACTGAAAACTTGCTATTAAGGAAACTAAGAAACAAGTAGGCAGAGTTTTCTGTACATCCTATAAACATGGAATGATGTGAAATAATAGTCCAAAAAATAGTCTGGGGGTAAAAATCCTTTTCTTTCTTCCCACTTAACCCGTTAGCCCACACTTCCCAGTGTCCTAGCCCACGCTGACTCTGATGATTGGGAACACATTTCTAAGAAGAACTAGTACTGTATTCTGAGTCACATTTTCTATTTTTATGTAAAGTCCTATTTAGAGCTTGCCTACTATTAGACTTGTCCTGATTTCCCTTAGTTACTGTGATTTAGTCAGCTGATTATTTGCAAAACGCAATTTAGGAGTTACTGTTTGTAATGGATGCTCAAGGTTAGAGCAACAAACAGGTAACTTATAAATGGTTAAGTCACTTAAAATACCTTATTCATTTAATCAGGAAACAATTACATTTTTAAAATGAAAGTAGGAAAGAATTATTTAGAAACTTTCACCAGAAACCATCTGTCAAAGGATATAAACGAATTAAAGTAGAAATCACCTCTCTGCTCCCTGCCTTGTTTTCATTAGTGATTGTAAGGAAGTGGATCCGGAAATAGACATGCATGATAGTAAGACAGCACTGCAGTAGCCAGTTCTTTCAGACATCACCACAAAAACATGCACTCAATATTTCACAATCATCTTACCCTGGCAATGTCACAGTACTGCCTCAGGCAAGGTTTCCTATCCTTTCTGGGTAAAATATGCTCCTCCTCCTCCTATAAATCACTTTTTTTTGAAGGGCAAAGCAAACTTTCTTGGTTTCAAAGCTATGCTTGTTATATTGTAGAAAATCCTGCTCATGCCATTGGAAAGCCACCTTGGTGTTTCTGGTAGGATGCAGAAATCTTCAGATGCACAAGTGCTGGCAATCTCCTGTGTTCATGGAAGGATCTCTAGAAACATAACCACAAGTGCTTTACTAATAAATCATTTTATGTTATCCTTGTACATTGAGGAAGAATTAAAGTGTTATTGTTACTTTATTGATTTCTTGAGCTTCTAACACAAATAAATTTACTGAGGATCATAAACTTAGTCACACTTGTCTTTCCTAATACCCTCTTGGGTTCCCCTTCTTCTTCTAGGTTAGCAAACAGTAAGTAAAGTTCAGAATTAGTATATTTATCAGTTTAATTGATGTTAAAATATTAAAATAAATTCTAAACTTTCACTTTGCATGTTCAGTGGGGGTTTAATTTTACAATTGAATTGAATAGCTAATAGCTTGAATATGGCCCCTGTGAAACAAACATGTAAAAATAGTGACAATTTTCACTTCTGGATAATAACAATAATTTAAAGAAAATAACCACTATCCCATAATCGTGTGAGATTAAGGACAATGCAGTCTACTCAAATGGCTAGAATAGGGCATCTAAACTAAATATTTGTATAGTGGTAAAGCTTGGCAGACCTTAGTGAGAGAAGATTCTAGAGTTTCCTACCATTAATTCACCAGTTCTAGAAATTGACTGCTGTAGAATAACTGTGAGGAGAATCGCTGTGATGAAAATTCATGAATGCATGAGCACAAAAGGAGACTACTAAAAGGTTAGAGACTTTACATCTAAAACTTATCAAAGGGCAAACAGCATGTCAGCAAAGAAACTTACATATTTTCTTTTTTTTCTGCTTACTTATTAAAAGAAATTATAAATTCACTTAAAATTTAAAGTATCATGGCATTAATATTACATATCTGGTAGCAGGTGTATAATTTTAAATCCATGAAAAATATGGTGATGATTGCATTAAAAAATAAAGGAGTAAGGATTAAAGCATCCATGATATGAATTAGTTTTGACAATTTCACTATCACCAAATCTGTTTCTGTCTTATAACAAAATAAGTAAAATTATTTGCTTCATTTGGTCATGTACTAAAAATAGATAATTGATTTTATTAGATATCAATTTTTAAAGTTTCATAGCTCAACTCACATAAGTGTGATAATTGATAATTTATTTCTAAAAGGAATTAAAAGTCAAGTTTAAGTCTAGAGGTAATTTTCAGGAAAGATCCTGTTTTCTCAACTTTTAAACTTTTGATAAAACTATTGTCAATTCATTTGAGACAGAATACACAGAAAGAAAATTAAAAAAAAACAAAGAACTAAATTACTGTTAGGTTCTTTCAAGGGAAAAGGGACTGATTCTTTAGAACACAGTAGAAAATACGCTCTTTTCCAAGAATATTATTAATTCTTTTGAAGATAAGATAAACATAGTGGCTACATTATAGTCACACATCTCATAGGAAACAAAGAATTAGGTGAAATATGTGGTTAATGTCTGTCTATATTTTAATCGACATAAAGACTCTTCTTCCTCCTTTTTTCCCACTCCTCACTCTTCTAGAGTCAGAACAGAAGACAGAGGCTGAACCAGACTGAGCAACTGTTTGTCCAGTTATCAGACACTTTTATATATAGCAGTAATAAATTAGTGTCCTTAGCGGGTTTTACAATAAAATCTTGTCTGCATACTTTACCAATTCATCAGTAGTTTCCAAGGATGATGATTGGGTTGGTGAAGATAGAATTGGCTCACTTACTCACTCATTCACTCATTGACTAATTCTATGAGGAAATATTTATGAGCAGTGACTTCTATGTGCCATACAGCTGTAAACAGCATCAATAAAACTTGACACACTTATGTGAGTTGAGTTACAAATGTTTAAAGATTGATCTCTAATTTATTGAATATGGTATCCATTATATTTCTGGACACATTATTTGACAAGACATAAACTTAAGATTAATATCTTCACTGAAATTACCAGAAACATTGGGTGAAAATTACGTACTCACTGCATCTTTCAAATTTCCTAACACAATATGCACAAGCAATATATATATATATATGTGTACATATATATATATACATATACATGCTTACCTTTTTATATTCTTTGCAACTACAACTAACAGATGAGGTGCAATTTGTTTTTTGTATGTGTTAATCAAAAACAGTCATCTACGTTGTTGAGGAATGAAGTGAGAACATTATCTAGCATAGTACTTGGTGCAAAGAAAATCTTCAGTAAACCCCTTTTAAGCAGTTAGATGATTCACTGTATATGTACATCTTTATAAAGGTTATGTTGCAAAGTGGAGGCTTATTAATCAAGAGTGGGATGATTTTTATGTAGTCATCTGAAGCCATTTAGAAATAACATTGCTTGTTTTGGAGAACTTTATCCCAGGTGTGAGCCCAGCAATCAAATGTTTGAGAGTAAGTTCTGCAGTCTAGAGTGATAAGATCTTTTAACAGGAAAAACAATTGCTCCTTCCTGCTTGGCCTCCTTCTTCTGCCCTAACTATAGAGAAGTGAGGATTGAGGAAGAACAGGTAAGAAGACAAGTCATTGTGTAGGCTAGCCCTTCACTTCTTCCAACATTAGTCACTAGTTCAGCCAAATTATTGGGACACATTTCTCTAACTTCCATGATCCTTTTGTAATTTGGAGAATGTTGTGCAAAATGTAAGACAGAATTCACAAATACTATAATAGGGTAAGGGGTCCTGGTTAGGTTTGGCCCCCGAAATTTAAGGTCCATTATCTTTACAAGAAATTTATTTCATTGGCAGTGAAGAAAAGATTGTTAACTTCGGTAGGAAATCATTTTTATTTATTAGAAGCTGTAAATTTAAATAACATTACTTGTGTATATGTATATGTGTATCTTTTAGTATCATCATCATCATCACAACAATATGAGCTTTGTACCTGAAAGTGATTGGAAATATAAGATATGCCTATGCTATGATCAAGGAGTACAGCTGCAGATCTGTCATAGTTTATTAACAAAGCAACGGCTTTCTAAACAGCCTAAAACCACTCAACAGTTTCATCTATTATTCTTTGTAAAATGAAGAAGAAAAGTAATACTGTATAATTACTTTGAGTCCAACTCATTAATTAAAAAATATTTTATTACATAATTTAAAAAGATAAAATACAATATTCAGGCGCCAAAACTCCAGGGTCTACATGTATAGAAAAAAGTACTTGCCTTTTGATTCATAACTTTGTGAATAGCCATTTTTGTAGCTGCCAAGTATTCTGAGCCTGGGGAGACAGATCTGTAGATAAAATACTTCCCTCACAGATGTGAGGAAATGAGTTCAAATCTCCAGCACCTATGTAGAAGCTGATAAATTAAGTTTAGTGGCTGTCTAAAACAGAAACAGATGATTCATGAGCAAATCTGGCTAGCTAAAAACTACCTGAATAAATATAGTGGAAAATGATCAATAAATACATTCATACACATACATGTGTATATACACATGCTTGTTTCCCCACACACTTGAATATACATAGAAAAGTAGCACATGCATGAAAAACAAAAATATTTTTAACTTTGTATAGTTTACATGGTAAGATCATGTAACATTTGTCTGCTATGACTGTTTCACTTAACATAATTTCTTCTAGTTTTTTTCATGTTTATATAAATTACTATTTTCATAAAATGGTGAATGTCCCATTATCAAAGACTTGAAATGTGGGAAAATGGTGACAATTTGGTATGCAAAACTTCAGCTAGACTTGAGAAAAAAAGTTTAAGGGATACTATTACATGTCATTGTTGTGGTGATTATAGTTGGTAACAGTATATATGTGAAAATTTCTCTGAGTTGAGCTATATGTGCTTGTAGCAAGCTTTTTTAAATGCAGTCAGACTTTCCTTTGGGGAACTACCAACTCTCCAATAACGACATGGAGACTTAATATTAATTATGAAAGCTTGGCCTTAGCTTAGGCTCTTTCCGAACTAGCTCTTATAATTTAAATTACCTATTATCTGTTTTTATTAATCTAAGTTTTGCCACATAGCTCAGTTACCTCCATCTCTGTACTGTGTGTCTGACTTCTTTGGGGTTTCAATGGTGTCTCTACCTTTCTTCTTCCCAGAGTCGTCTCTCTCCAGATATTCTGCCTATCTTCTCCGGCAAAGCTCT